GTTTTAAGCCCCATATCCAAAATCTTGTGAAGAAACTTAAGCTTAAACTGGGCTTCTTTTTTCAAAATAAAATAAAAAAATATTTTTGGTTAAAAAGCGGCTTGTCACGGCAACATTTTTATCCATTTTAGATTATGGAAACTTGTTGTATATGAAAGTCTCAGCACAATATCTTAAAGAAAATTGATGCTGTCTATCATGCTTCTCTGAGGTTTGTTACTAACTGTAAAGCCTCGACTCATCGTGATCTGTACACTCGAGTGGGATGGCCTTCTTTGTCCACCAGGAGGTTGGGACATTGGTACAGTTTTGTTTATAAGGCTTTGCTTGGGTTGTTACCGTCTTACATCTGTGATCTAATCACACAAGAAAGCATTGATTCACACTCCTTGCGTTCAAATAATTATTTCTTTCTCTCTGTCCCATTTCTCCGTACAGAACTAGGGAAAAGGGCCTTTATTTACTCTGCCCCGTCTACATGGAACATGTTGCAAAAAGTCTGGAAGTTAAGTGAACTGCTCCCATTGAGCACCTTTAAGTCCAGATTGAGAGGATTAGAGATGACTTCCTTGAATTGTGAATGYTTTTAATAGTGATTGTTTGTATTGTGTTTTAATTGTGTAACTCTATGTAAATGTAGACTTTTTGCTGCCTCTTGGCCAGGACTCCCTTGAAAGAGGTTTTTAATCTCAATGGGACTTTCCTGGTTAAAGAAAGGGAATGAATGAATGAATTAAAAATAAATAAATAATAACAGTTGTAGCCAAGTGAGTTACTRCCTTAATTCAATTCAAATTTTAATAGTAAAGCATACTGTGCTCTGTAGTTTTGTACCAAACATCAACTTAACGTTGGCTCTTCAAGCATCAACAAAGGAAATGCATTTGTTTTCACACAAGAACGTCAAGGCAACAAGACACAGTGACATTAAAATGATTGAGGTCACAGTCACTGATGCCCTGAGACAATTAAGACATACAGCAGCCTTGTGTGAAAAATGGCACTGTCTGCCTTCAGTAAGCTGCATAATCTTGGGTACAAAAGGTGTTCCMACTCTTCATGACTCCGTCTCTGAGTAAATTCATCACATGGTCCTCTGGACTGGACTGAGACAAAACAGATGCATATTTTTCTCCCCATGCATTTTTGAAAACATGTTTTTAAACCTTGTTTTGCGTGTCATGGTGACATGACACAATACTTCATTTTCTGCCACCTTACTGATAAAGACAACAACAGARGATCCTGGTGTTTCTCTCCTGTGCCTGCAGAGCTGTGGATGTTGGATCCCTTTTAGCTCTTCGTTGATTTGGTAGTKTTGACGGGAAGCTGAATAACTAAATCATGTAAACGTTGCATCATACTTGCACTGGCTGTCAATGCTGCTATAGCTGCATTTTAATTTCACGCCAAGGTTAATAGAGAAAAAAAATTACAAACTGAACACTCAATGGATAAGAATAAAACATTTTTTAATGTAGTACACATCCACTTCATTACTTTGTACCAATGACTTGCTGTTTTGTGTATATCCAGACTGGAGTTTGGACTTGAAATATTGCTAATGTGTGCATTTTCTGTTATCGAGCCAATGCTCTTGGAGAAAGCCTCGAAACATCCTTTACATTAGGACTTGAATTCTTAGTGAAAGCATAATTAGCCAGGTGAAACAAATCATCCGTTTTACATCTGTTCTGCAATTTTTTCCATTGTTTTTGTTCTTTTTAAAGAATTTTCCAAAAACACCATAAAGGTTTTGCTTCGAAATTCAAATCAATGTGTGAGGGCCACGCAGCCTCAAACTCATATTTTTTTTACATCTATATTTACAGGAATTCAAACACATGCACCAAAACAGGAAAAAAAAAACATCTGTTCAAGAGAAAGGAAGACRTGTTTTTGTTTCTTAATCTTGATTCACAATTGTAGCTCACACAGCCACGCAGTTGTCACACCATCTTAATTTGCTATGAATACCAGAATGATTATCCATGGTGCTCATGAAGCCTAATCTTTTGTTTGTTTTYTATTCTCTTTTTGACTAAATATGACAAGTGAAACCCATTTAAATCTTCTGTCAGTGAATCGCTGCATTTTGTTGCATGTTAAAGCTTTCAGTCTGTGACAAATCCTAATTGGTTAGAGAAAGTACCTTCAGGGCAAAATGTACCTGATGCTGTGAATTGTGTTGCTCTAATTGGGTTTACCCATAATCTGCTGCCGCTGCTAGAGAGCCTCATGCATAAGCAGCATGGAAATCGTGTAATACTTGGAATGAGCTGCCGACATGTTTGATTTAATTAATCAAAAATTAGCTTCCAGCCTTGGAACGCACTCCACTGAAACTCTCCAGAGGAGGCGGGCAAGTCCTGGGATATCTGCCTGACTATAAGCAGGCAATAAAAAACATTAATAATGCAGTGTTTTTTTTTTCAAATGCTGTTCATCAGTGTGGAGGGTGATGTACTAGCAGAGGATGAGTGCTGTAATGTAGTCAAGATTATTTTTTATTTTGAGACTTTTTAAAAGCGATGCCACAAAGTACATTAAACCCAAAACTTGATTACGCTTTATGGTCAATCTTATGCAATATCTCAATGTGTCATACTCACAGTAGGTGTTGTGAATGAGTCTCAGCTACTACTACATCAGATTTAGCTCAAAAACTCTAA